ATGTGCAAATAATACAAAATAATAATAAAAATAATAAAACATTTTGAAGTCAGTTTTTTGAGTGTTTGTGTTTACAAAAAATGCGAACAACCAACAATTTGAAGAATAAACCCATGTGTGTTGCAATGTAGGCAATATTAGTGCTTATTGTTCAATTTGTTGAAAATATCCAGGCCAATCCTTTTATTCTGAATTTCATTTCATGCTCAAATTAAGTGATTAAGTGCTGGACAATTACAGTTCACTAAAAGAAGGAGCCCCTACAGTAATGAGTGAAGAATAACAAGGCCATGTTTGGTCTGTGCTTTGAAAATTAGAAATGTGAAGACAGCAGAGGGAAGGAGAGACAGCAATTCAAATGAATTTTCTTTGTCATAGAGAGGAACACTTCTCCCACCGTTCCTCCACCTGATTGATTTGTGTGACTGTTGTAAAACAAAGTAAAGGAGAAAAAAAAACATTTCTACTGGGTGAGGCCTCATAGTTCCCATGGCTGTGTGGCTTGCTAAAGCTAATTTTATTTTGAAAAGAGTCAAATATATAATGAACTGTAATCAAAAATGCTTAATGCAAATAACAAACAGCATAAAAGGTAATGCCCAATGAAGATATACTTTTATGTTAATGGAATACACACAAAACATTGCTTTAATATACTTTAGTTTCTGTGTTTCTGTGAGAAGTACCTCAGGCTGCACGCGCAATGCAGCAGTTAGCTGCTGCAACTTTAAGGTGCCATCTACAACAGGTAAGATACTGTTTGTATATTTTCCACAAATACCTTTTTCATTGACAATATTACTTTAATATGAAGCTATTATCCTTGCTGAAATTAAATTACTCTGTAATTGCAAATATGTTACTTTTTTAAATATACAGATTTTGAGAAAAGCACAAACTGTTTTTTACATTAGGCGAAGAAAGCAAGATCAGTCTTTAGAATAGAATAGAATAGAATAGAATAGATGACTTACCGATGTGTAGAGATGGCCCTCTCCGTTCATAGCGATGTATAGACCGGTCTTCACTGACTGAATGGCGACGACTCTGAGGCCCACAGGAATAAGGTTAAACAAAGCTGGGAAAGACAAAATRCAAACACAAAGTTTTGTATGACTTTTGTATATGTTTATTTAAAAAATCACAGCAAAGCCATTTATTGCAATTTCAGATTGCATTTATTTATTTATTCCTTCATTCATTCATTCATTCTGGTTTACTAATCATACCCACACATCTAAATTTGTTTGGCCCGGTTCTGGCCCACACAGTGCACTAACAATCTTATGCTATGTTCAGACCGAATGCGTCTTGAGCAACAAAAAAGCGCCCAAAGCTTCCAGTTGGACAAACTAGGTACAGATTGGGACACAGACTAAAGGCGTGTCTGAAGTGGGAAGGAGCGTTTTGGTTTTTTTCTCAGTCTGTCTTCGGCGGATGAAATAAAGATAAAATAGAGAAAATGGCGTTGCTTTATTTACTAAAGAGTAAGTGAACGTTGCGCACACCAGATGATTAATTCACCAGATGATTTAGAGGTGGTTTGTTTGGTTAGTTTCACCACTCCAGGAGCTGCGAGCTGACGGACTATTTTTTGCCCCAAGCCCAGTTTACACTGCGGTCAGTTTAACCYGCATCTGTGGTGATATCTCCAGCCAGAACACCAACTACAGAYGGTTGATTTCAACTAAAGAGCTCCTGTCCGTCTGTTTCGGTTTAGTGGGMAACATTCAGGAAACTGTCAYGTGGAAAAATGAGTCTCTCTGATTGGTTGTCAAGATGCGTCGAGCAGCGAAAGTTCCGATTTTTGAACTCAATCGTCGGTTGCTTTCAACGCACTGCATGCGTGGAAAATGCTCTGCTGCACCTTCCGCGTTCCTTGGACGCCACGCCAAATGGACCTGACACGTCACAAGACCCCTAGAGGTGCGTCCACCATAGACTTTGCATGTAAACTGACTGCTTCTGCAGCTCAAAACGCGTTTGGTGTGAATCCACTATTAACATTTGGTCCAGATACTGCAAAGAATGAAAACCTTTGGTGGTGCAGATGTGGTTTGCCAGAGGTGGTCCATGCATGGGTGAGTAACTGGGCCAGTTGCGGCATGCTGTCTTAAAAACAGTGCCGTCCTTGCCAGGCCTGGCCCACATCTGGTTGCCAAACCACTTGCCCTGCCAACAGTCAGCCAGCAGTGCTAGCCTGACACCACATCTGGCCCACACCTGTCTGCTAAGTGTGTAGTATCTCATTGCTCAGAAGTGAATGTCATTGGAGCAACCATGGCTGATTTATCAGCATACGTCTTGTTGTTGCATTGAACCTATTGTGTGTGGTTATGGTTGATGACTGCTGGGGTGAAAAAAAAAACAATAGGAATGGTCTGGCTTTGAAAGAGTTTTTGTGTCTCATAACAACATCWACTGATTTATTATCTGACCAGTATTGGAAGTTTGATCCTTCAAAAAGAKCTCAGATAAACCTACATGTATATGTATTGATTTTAAGTGATWTGTAATGGATCTGATTTGATTTTGACATTATTTGACATCTCTTTTTGTTTCAACAAGTTTCAACTGATCAGATGTGACATGTGCCAAATCTTGTTTTGCTGATGGCAGTGAAGTGATAAAATGTGGAGTGTCAGGCTAGCATTAGCACCAGGACCTCAAATCAAATTAACCACCTAGCCTGAAGCGCTAGTGGAGCTGTGCCAGAACAAGCTAATAATACCACTTTCCTCTGTGTTCGGCCTACTGTTTCCTGGTCCACTTTCTCTCTCTGTCAGGGAAAACAGGTATAATTCGATGGCTGCAGTTTAGCAAGACGTTTTATTCCCTTCAAGAGCTAAAATATGAGGGAATGTATCGGCCTAAGGGGTAGAGAAGTTCAATTTCTGCACTAGAAAGTTACATTTATAAAAGGCAGACATCAAACGGCTCCAAATCTACCAAGCGTTTGTGCTCCAGGAGGTTCTAAATAATTACACCTTTAAAATGTTTGATCCTGAAGGCCAAAATGGAGATACTCACAGGAATTACTGCTGTCATCCTTGGTGCCATCAAGAGAGCCATCGGGGTTCATTTGCAAGTAGTATCCCTGCCTGCAATATAACCTGGTCACTATACCCTTGAGCTGGGGATCTGCAGGAGAGAGAAATTAAACAGTTAGAATTTCTGCAGAAAAAAAACAATTATTTCTAAACACATTAATTGTTCGCTTCCAATACAATAAGATCTTGCTTGTTTTATTTATTTATTTTTTGACAACAAAATGACAAAAATAATTATAATAAAATGCCATATAGCTCTGTGATTTTTTTAGGCAAATCCCAGAGACATCTTTTTTTTTGCACATAAGCCCCACACTGCTCAGAGATAGCCCATCCAATTACAGGCATCAGAATTAATATGTGGCTGTCTGACTCCTATAATGAACCCAACAGCCCCCTCTTTGGGCTTTTAGAGCGCAGGATGCAAGAGCATCTGCAGCTTCCAGCTGATCCGACAGGGGAATTATCCACGTGTTTACRGTAAACAAATGTCTTCTGAGGTTAGACTGCACCAAGCCGCTGCAGCTCATTGTGTTCTGTTTAAATTTGTTGCCATTTTAAATGAGTTGTAACAATAGGTGGAAACATGACAATAAAAGTATAAAATGGTTTCAGGACTAAAGCAGCTTCAGATAAAACTAAATGAGAATGCTTCCTTATTTGTGCATCCCTGCACGTCTATACAGCCATCACACACATGTCCCTGGGGATGTAAAGAAACAAACATCAACTGCTTTGCTTCTAAACCATATTCCCTGAAAGCAACTGTGTGTGTGGGGGTGGCAGAGGGAAGAAGGAGAGCAAAGTCACAGACTAGGTCTCAAGAGGTCTCTTGCTGAGGGCAGTGTCAAGTTTTTCTGTTACTTTGCAGGTCATGACATTCTCTTTTGAAACTGTAATGTTAGGTGATGGCAAAAAGCATCCCTGAGATGTGAGACAGGAGGCGTTACATCTGAGCAATCCTGCTTTAGCATTCAGCCGTACCATTGAGCTCTGGTGAAAAGGTGGCTAAAGCAAAGCACGGCTGAATGCCACCATAAGGCATGAGACGGGCTGACAGGGCAGTTTTTACAACAAGCTCAGTCAAAACTCTTGCAGACTTTCAGCCCAAAACACATCACCATGCAGACACATACTTTTACCTGCTTTTGTCTATCTTATCTTACAACTAGRATCATTTTATAGCATCAACCCAAGTGTTCACTCTTACCGATAATGTTAGACTTCACATGTAAAAATGATGCCTCAAGATTCCACAGGTTAAAATATCCCCCTGCCTTATAGGGATAAAGAAACTCATTAAGTTCAATCATATGATTCTAAAAATGTGGAAAACACATTAAATTGTGGAACTGTAGGAATAAAGTTGAATTTAGCCTAAAATGTAGAATGTGATTATTATTATTATTATTATTATTATTATTA